AATGGGAGGTGAAGATTTTGATACTTTTTAGGTCTTGTCTTCTATCTTTTTTTTTGTAAGATGTAATAATTTTGACTGTAAAATGTTATAAATTGTATTTTTTAGTTTAAAGTAATTTTTGCTATTATTTTATTTTCGCTATAGTTCTTTTGCTTCTATGCTTATTTTAGTGTCATCCTCCTTCCCGATGCTGATACTCACTTGCCTCTTGATAGTACTATTTCTTGCCGTAGGAGCTGCAATCATTTTTCTCATCCATCATATATTCGTCCATTTCTTCCACGCAGCCAGATCGCATCGGAAATTCCATAAAAAGGTGAGCCTCTTCCTGGTAGGAGTTATTAATAGCACTGAGATGTAATTGCGATCGTGACGTATGACTGCGTCATGTTACGCTCCTCATGCTGGTTGCGTAACTGTTGCGCTCATTGCCTAGTGAGAGTATCATGTAGGGTTGGATAATTGACGGTCGTATCAAAAACGTTTTCTAACGGAAATTTTTTGTGACACCATTTTTTTGGAGAAAAAGTGTACAATCTGACCTGTTTTTGGCTCGAAGTTTAGGTGGAAATTGTGGCCAATCGTATCTCCAACAATCTCATTTCTTGTAATAAACTGCATAGTGGTGATGTGTATCACAAAGCAGCGAGTTTTTGATGAATCTTTCTTATTCTGATAATCGCTTTTTGCTGTTTCTATGGTCACCTCTTCTCATTATTTAGCTTTTCCACATTTGGCATCAAAAAACCTTTCACTACTTTGTAAGAGAATCGATGTTGACTTATCAGAAGTGCTCCTTGAACAACTATCTTAAAGTAATTTTGAGTTTCTCTAGTTCTATTCTGCATTTGCATGGAAATCGCATAAGCCTAGAAGTTCGCAGTAAATCTCTACTTTACAAGCTCCTTCCAATCCGCCATTAATCACCTAGTTATTGGGCAACTCTAAGAAGATTTATTGCTTTTCCAAAGCTTACTGCTTCACTTTTCCCTGATTTTCTCTCTAAGAAGTACGAGACTTGATTGCGCTGGTAGTGGCGTTTCGTGGCTAAGCAAGGTAGACAAACTTGGCTAAATATAAATTACAAAAGCTGTTTTATAGTTGTATAAAGCTTCTTAGACTTTTTTCGTGATGAAAATTCGAGTGTTTTCTATTTTGTTGGTTTCTAGAAGTCCTGAAAGTACAAGAGAAGGCTTGAGTGCAAGGTTTGAGTGCAGAAAACTATTAAGAGATTATGAGCAACTGTGGATTCATCCGTAGGTGCGGATTGTATCAGTGATATCATTTATGTTTTTGAGGCTTCCCAAGGATAATCTGGTAATCTTGGAATCCGGTGATTTACAGGGGTGTTTCTCTTCGGAAAATCATTGGGACATTAAGACCAGATGATGTTTCTTTATCTCTCGGCATTGGGATACAGGAAAAATGTTTTGGGAGAGGATGACAGAGCGTTTGGAGCAGTTGTTGGGGAACAATTATCAACAACTGCTGGAAAATTAGTTATAAAAATGTACCTAATTTCAAAAAACTAGGAGAAAATAAACAATAAGTTTGGAAGAAACAAATGGAACGTTTGAAAAATGTCTTACTTTTTTGGAATTTTTATTAATAAGGGTTTTAGAACGTAAATGACTCAAGCTAATCTTAAGCCACGTAGCTCACCTGACTGACCTAACTTCTTATGCTTAAATACCGTAACATCGCTATCTCACTAGAGATCGCTTCACTAATTGTTTCGATCGGCCTAATTATAGGTTTTTAAGTTGTATGGCGCAATGAAAGCACGCGCGTCAAGTGTTACGTCATTACGAGAATTGAAGCGTTCGCTTATGGAAGAAGGTAGGGGGAGGTGTGGATATGATGTTTACTTTTTGATTGGAAACTGATTACAAGTAGTGAAATGACTCAAGTATCAGTTGAGATTTGCTTTGAATGAAAAATTATTTAGTTTGTACTAAAAATGAGAGATTGAAGA